GTCATTGCCAAATTCCTTTTATGAAGCTACAGTTACCCTGATACCAAAACCACAAAAAGACCCAACCAAGAAAGAGAATTACAGACCGATCTCACTCATGAACATCGACGCAAAAATTTTCAATAAAATACTGGCAAACCGAATCCAAGAACACATAAGAAAAATTATCCATTATGATCAAGTAGCCTTCATCCCAGAGATGCAGGGCTGGTTCAACATACGCAAATCTATCAATGTAATCCACCATATAAATAAACTGAAAGAAAAAAACCATATGATCATTTCACTAGATGCTGAAAAAGCATTCGACAAAATTCAACACCCCTTTATGATAAAGGTCTTGGAGAGAATAGGGATACAAGGGTCCTACCTAAATATAATAAAAGCTATTTACAGCAAGCCAACAGCTAACATTAAATTAAACGGAGAAAAACTCAAAGCCATCCCACTAAAATCAGGAACACGACAAGGATGTCCACTCTCTCCATACCTCTTCAATATAGTGCTTGAAATTCTAGCAATAGCAATAAGACAACATAAGGAGATCAAGGGGATTCGTATTGGAAAGGAAGAAGTTAAGCTTTCATTATTTGCAGATGATATGATAGTGTACATAAGCGACCGCAAAAATTCTACCAAAGAACTCCTACAGCTGATAAACAGCTTTAGTAATGTGGCAGGATACAAGATCAACTCCAAAAAATCAGTTGCGTTCCTATACACTAAGGATAAGGAAGCAGAGAGGGAAATCAGAGAAGCATCACCTTTCACGATAGCCACAAATAGCATAAAATACCTTGGGGTAACCCTGACCAAGGAAGTGAAAGATCTACTTGACAAGAACTATAAGTCTTTGAAGAAAGAAATTGAAGAAGACACCAGAAAATGGAAAGACCTCCCTTGCTCTTGGATTGGGAGGATCAACATAGTAAAAATGGCAATTCTACCAAAAGCAATCTATAGATTCAATGCAATCCCCATCAAAATCCCATCAAAATTCTTCACAGATCTGGAGAAGACAATAATTAACTTTATATGGAAAAACAAAAAACCCAGGATAGCCAAAACAATCTTATACAATAAAGGATTGTCTGGAGGCATTACCATCCCTGACTTCAAACTCTATTACAGAGCTACAGTATTGAAAACAGCTTGGTATTGGCATAAAAACAGAGAAGTCGACCAATGGAATCGAATAGAAGACCCTGACATTAACCCACAAACCTATGAAAACCTGATCTTCGATAAAGGAGCTAAAAGTATACAATGGAAAAAAGAGAGCATCTTCAACAAATGGTGCAGGCAAAACTGGATGTCAATCTGTAGAAGAATGAAAATAGATCCATATCTATCACCATGCACAAAACTCAAATCCAAATGGATTAAAGACCTCAATATCAGTCCGAACACACTGAACCTGATAGAAGAGAAAGTGGGAAGTACTCTACAGCAAATGGGCACAGGAGACCACTTCCTATGTATAACCCCAGCAGCACAGACACTAAGGGCATCATTGAATAAATGGGACTTCCTGAGGCTGAGAAGCTTCTGTAAAGCAAAGGACACTGTCACTAAGACAAAAAGACAACCCACTGACTGGGAGAAGATCTTCACCAACCCTGCAACTGACAAAAGGTTTGATCTCCAAAATATATAAAGAACTCAAGAAACTAGACCGTAAAAGGCTAATCAACCCAATTATAAAATGGGGCACTGAGCTGAACAGAGAATTCTCAACAGAAGAAGTTCAAATGGCCAAAAGATACTTAAGGTCATGCTCAACTTCCTTAGCGATCAGGGAAATGCAAATCAAGACAACTTTAAGATACCACCTTACACCTGTCAGAATGGCTAAAATAAAAAACACCAATGATAGCCTTTGCTGGAGAGGTTGTGGAGAAAGGGGTACAATCACCCATTGCTGGTGGGAATGCAAACTTGTGCAACCACTCTGGAAAGCAGTGTTTCGGTTTCTCAGGAAATTCGGGATCAACCTACCCCAGGATCCAGCAATACCACTCTTGGGAATATACCCAAGAGAGGCCCTATCATACAACAAAAGTATATGCTCAACTATGTTCATGGCAGCATTGTTTGTAATAGCCAGAACCTGGAAACAACCTAGATGCCCTTCAACGGAAGAATGGATGAAGAAAGTATGGAATATATACATATTAGAGTATTACTCAGCAGTAAAAAACAAGGACTTCTTGAATTTTGCATACAAATGGATGGAAATAGAAAACACTATCCTGAGTGAGGTAAGCCAGACCCAAAAAGAGGAACATGGGATGTACTCACTCATATTTGGTTTCTAGCCATAAATAAAGGACATTGAGCTTATAATTCATGTTCCTAGAGAAGCTAAATAAGGCGAATCCAAAGACAAACACATAGGCATCCTCAGGAATATTAACCTTCATCAGGCGATGAAAGGAGACAGAGACAGAGACCCACACGGGAGCACCGGACAGAAATCTCAAGGTCCAAATCAGGAGCAGAAGGAGACGGAGCACGAGCAAGGAACTCAGGACCACAAGGGGTGCACCCACACACTAAGACAATGGGGATGTTCTATTGGGATCTCACCAAGGCCAGCTGGCCTAGGTCTGAAAAAGCATGGGATAAATCCGGACTAGCTGAACATAGCGGACAATGAGGAATACTGAGAATTCAAGAACAATTGCAGTGGGTTTTTGATCCTACTGCACGTACTGGCTTTGTGGGAGCCTAGGCAGTTTGAATGCTCACCTTACGAGACCTGGATAGAGGTGGGCAGTCCTTGGGCTTCCCACAGGTCAGGGAACCCTGATTGCTCTTCGAGCAGATGAGGGAGGGGGACTTGATCGGGGGGAGGGGGAGGGAAATGGGAAGCGGTTGTGGGGACAAGGCAGAAATCCTTAATAAATAAATTTAAAAAAGAAAAAAAAAAGTTTATACCTCAGAGAATTGTTAAAGATTATATGAAATAATTTTGTGATTCACATAGTACCTGACATATCATAAACACTTATTAAATGCTAGCTATTCTTCTAATAATGCATAAATAAAAGAAACATTTACTTAAAAAAAAAAAAGAAAGCAATTAAAATATAAAACACATGTAGAGGTAACGTGGGCATAATGGCACATACCTGTAATTCGGGATTCATGAAGATGAGGTGGGAAGATCTTAATGTCTACATATTGAGACCCTCTTTCAAAAGGAGGAGGTTGGGAAGAAGGAAAGAAGAGAGGATATGAGGGAAAAGGGTAGAAAAGGGCATGGCTTGAACACTAGCCGAATGAAAACAGGAAGAACTATATTAATTCAGATAACGCAGACTTCAAAACCAGGAAGGTTAGCGTGGCATTTTTCTCTCTTGGTAACAAGCTTCCTAACACAGGGTGGGAGTTATTCCAGCTCAGGATTTCAGTGCATTTCTTTTAGGTCTGTGACATGGCAAAGACAACACAGTAGAAGAGGAGGCCAGGAGATGGCATCAGATCCCCTGGTGCTGGAGTTAACAGGCAGCTCTGAGTGCCTGGTGTGGGAGCTGGGAACCAAACGCAGGTGCTCTGAAAGAGCAGTATGTAGTTGATGCTAGGATTAGACCCTTCTTTATTAGAAATAAAAGGGGAAATGTTGTGGGAGCTTGATCCACTTAGCTGAAGACATTTGGGGTGAGTTTGTTTTTCCACTGTACCCCTTAATAAGTTATTAAATAGACTTTTGTGGGCTTTCACTTTAATGCACACTAGGTGCTGGCTAGTTTCATGTCAAGTTGACACAAGCTAGAGCCACCTGAGAGGAGGGAGCCTTAACTGAGAAAATGCCGCTATAACGTTGAACTGTAGATTCGCACACAGGGATTCTCATGCACTGCTGGAGGAAATACAACATGGTACAGCCAAGATAGTCGGGCAATCTCTTACAAAGCTAAAGATGTTCTTACTATACAACCCAGCAGCTGAGCTCCTGGAAATTTACCTAAAGGAGAAAAGAGTCTATTTCCGCACAAAACCTTGCACCTAATAGCCAGCCTTATTCCTGATTGCTATAGCTTATAAGAAATCAAGATGTCTTTCAGCAGCTGAATAGATAAATGAACTCATGCCCATTGTCTGGAAACACCATTTAGCTACTAAAAGAAATGAGCTACCAAATACCCAGAGAATACACATAGGACTCCCCAGAGACTGACTGGAGAGACGGCTCCAAGCCTGAGAGCCTTGACTGCTCTATGGAAGGACCAGAATTGGAATTGCCAGCACCAGCATCAAGTGACTCCAAACCTGTGACACCCACTTCAGGTGCTCCATGGCCACCTTCTCATGTCTGTGGACACCCATAAACACACATGTGTGCCTAAAAACACATACATGAGTATAAGATAACCAAATCTTTAAAATAGATATGCAGAGAAGCCTTAAAAATGCATACCACTAACTGAAGGAGTCAGTCTGAAAAATCCACACCCTGTGTCACTTGAAGTGTGTGACAGTCTGAAAACTGCAAAACTACCAACATTAAGACAGTAAGAAAATTGGCAGTGACCGAGGGCTAGGAGGGTAGAGGGAGAAAGGTGGAGAACGGAGGATAGTTGAAGCAACAAAGCCTCTCGGAGCAATACTATTGCCATGGATAAATGTCATTACAAAATTTCCACAGCCGTTAAACATACCAGCTCTAAGAGAAGTCTGCTGTGAGCTGTGAGTCCTGTGTGGCAATATGTCAATGCAGGCTCTGATTTCCAACAAATATCCCAGTGTGGGGAGAGATGCTAGGAATGGGGAGGAATGCATGAACGAGGGCAGGGACACATGGGAAATCTCTGCGCTTTTCATTCAGTTTTTGTGCGAACCGAAACGTGGCCTAAAAATAAGTCTACTAAAAACAATTTTGGCTAATGAGGGAAACCCCAATTTGAACATATCCACATCTCTCAGCATAAATGCAAATTAGCATTTGAAACTGTTACTTGCCTCGTTTCTTTCATCTGCTAAATGAAGCTAACGGCTCGTGGGGAGCGTTAAATGAGAAGAGGGTGGAGGATAGTCTCTTCGACGTGCTCAACGCCATTCCAGTGCCAGCCACGCGAGTTCGTGGAGGCTAGCAGTGCTCTGCACATTGGGAAAGTGATGTGAAGCACCACACTGGAAAAAGGAAGCAATGTGAAGTCAGCATAATCACAGAAAATGATACCACTACACAACCAACCTCAAAGAAAAAGAAAATCCCACGACTACTGTATTGTGGTAGCAGTTACAAAACAGCCAAACACCAAGGTTTGCTGTGTACTTGGAATCCTCTGAAGAATGTCAAATTAAAGAGGAAAATAATTGATTTAGGAACAATTTGCTGTAAATGAGGTAATGATTTCCAATAAAGCATTGTATTTCACTGTAAAAGTATTTAGAAAAATGACAGTACACACTTACACAAAACACAAGCTAAGATACAAACGTGCACACACACTTTTGCTGACCTTGATGCCACCTGCTTGAGAGGACACGGGCCCTGAAATCCTGAGTCTGAGGTTTGTGAGATTGTCTCTGTGACTTCATCTTGGTTCAAAGCCGCTTGTTTATTTCTGGTTTTAAGACATGCCTTTGGCATAACTCAAATGCTTGAGAATATTTATCATCCTTGTTCATGTTTCCAGAGAGGACAGGATTTGCTGTTCCCTGGAGTCAGAGAAGAAAACAGGCTGGGGGCATCTGTTGCCTGTCCATGCCAGTGACCGCCCATCTGGCGTTCGGAGAGCCATCCCTTAGGGATGATGAGTCTTGGCCACAGAAGGTCCAGCCTGTGGCTCTGTCCGGCAGCCTGGGACTTCCTTGTCATATGACTCCCCCATGTAACGTAATCTTTCTCCTTCATTTCTGGCAGTTGAGAGAGTACAATGTACATGAACTGAATAGGTCCCAGAATCTAAATCGGGAGAACCCATGAGGGAGCGAGCTCCCCAACAGATTCAGTTTTAAGCTTTATTGTAAAATACAGCTTCCTAGAAATCCTCCTTGTTATGTAGAGAGTTTGTGCCCTGTCCCACGGCTGAGCAGTGGGTCTTGGACTGCTTTTCTGTCTCTGAAAGGTCTGGAGGGAAAGAAGAGTAATCCAGGCCTAAACTCGGTCATTTGCCCAATTCATGTGCCTCCAGCTCTACACAGACGATTCAGAAGGGGAGGAGAAAGGTGGAGTTAATATCTAACGGGGGTGGATTTTACTCTGGGAAGGTGGAGAATGCTAATGGTTGCCAACAGTGTGAATGACTGATGGGGTGGTGTTGTGTCTTCTATGTGGCTGCAGTAGTAAATGTTATGCTGTCTACACCAACACCGTGACAGAAAGAGCAAGCCATAGGCAGCAATGTATCTACAGCCAGGTAGAGGAACACAAATAAACCAACACATCAAACCATCCAATCAACAACAAGAAAAACAAGCACACCTAGGAAAAAAAGAACAGGTTTCTAAGAGATAATAATGAGCCAGGTGGTGGTGGCACACGCCTTTAAACCCATTGCTCTGGAGGCAGAAGCAGGAGGATCTCTGTGAATAGTAGAGATAGAGTGTGGATTTAGATAGACCATAGGCACTAGTCTATGAGAATAGTACAATGTCATTAGGAATCATGATAGCACTATTTTTTAAGACCATTGTATTTGGTTTTACTCTAGGTCTCTGGGTTCTTGGTCACCCAACAATGTTGGGTATAGATTCCATCTGTGGAATGGCCCTTAAATCAAAACGGTTATGAGTTGGTTGTTTCCATGAGCTTTGTGTCCCCATTGCTGTAGCACGTCCTGCAGGCAGGACACAAGGAGTTGAGTCTGGCCTGGAGTTACATTTCTCTTTTGGTGGCATGTCCAGGCTCATCTTAAAAAATTATTATTTGAAATTTTATACAAGCACACAAGGTATCTTGATCTCACCCATCCCCTATTCTCTGTTTCAACATCCCTACACCCCAGCATATCTCCTTCCCAATTTCATTCATTTTTCTTCCCATATGTGCATGGGGATGTCCAGTGAGGCACAGGCAATGCACAAGTGAACACAAACCCATAGAAAAGTGCCTCTCCTTCCCTCGCAAAGTAACTAATAGCTCCTCGGCTGGGAGCGGGGCCATGGGCATCGCTCCCTCGCTCATTCTGAAGTTCTTTCATTGTTGTTGTTGATGATGATGCTTTGTTCATTGCTGTTTGAGGTAAGGTCTCACTATGTAGCTCTGACTGGCCTAGAACTCATTCTGTAAACTAAGTTGCCTTCAAACTCAGAGATCTGCCTGTCACTGCCTGGAATGCTGGGATTAAAAATGTGCACCACCACCCCTGCAGAGTTTGAACTGGCTTGATCCCGTGGAGGTCTTGCACATATGACCACAACTGCCGTGAGCTGTGCCACAGCCAAGTCATGTACTGAAGACAGGGATTCCCAACACTTTTCCTGCCCTTAGATTCATCCCAGCCTTCCTCCAAGATGTTCCCTAGGTCTTAGGGGTGGAGGGCTTTAACACTGCCATCTATGGCTAAGCATGCACCACTTAAACTCAGCCCTTTGATCTGACTCCTTCTCATCTGCTAGTTTCTAATTTGTTATTTTTATAGTTATGTATATGTGGGAAGGTGTGTACCTGCGAATACAGGTAGCCCGGGAGGCTGTTGTGCCCCCTGGAGCTAGAATTACAAGCAAGAATGGTGTTCTCCAAACCACTGAGCCATCTAGTGCAGTTTCGCGCACTGTATTTATAAAAGCATCTATAGTCTTCTGGGAAGAAAATGGAATTTAGATGAATGGTACAATGTAAGAACATATTTCCAAACATCAAATGAGGATGGCCTCCAAGTAATGTTATCAGCATCATTAGGATAATTAATGTATTGCCTTCATTTCTTTTTTGTTTAATTGGTTGGCGTTTTTTTATGTTGCTGTTGTTGTTGTTTTATTTCTGTTTTGTTTTCTTTTTTTTTTTTGAGACAAGTTTTCTCTTTGTAGCCCAGGCTGTCCTGGAGCTCACTCTGTAGACCAGGCTGGCCTCGAACTCACAGAGGTCCACTTGCCTCTGCCTCCCGAGTGCCGGCATTAAAGGTGTGTGCCACCACTACCCATTGCATTCGTTTCTTACTTGATTTTATACCAAACACGTGAAAACAGTTTTCTGTTAGGATGCGTGTTCCCAGTGTTCACAGGTGCCTCCTGCCTTTACAGTAAGTAGGTATGATAAACCAAGAGATGAGATTTTGGGTGTTAGAAGTAAGCTGTAATATATACAGACATTATTCATTGAAGGTTGCCATGCCAGGAATTATGCACCATCGGGGAGATACCATCTGTGAGGATGACAACCAAATCCTGCACTCAGGTTGCTTGAGGTCTAGATGACATAAATAAGACACTTTGGATCTGCCCACAGCAACCAGAAGAAGCCTGCAGGAATGGTCTCCAGTCACAGGAGACATCTTACTATTAGCAGCAGTGAGGATAGAGACTGATGAGAGCAGAGCCACCCTCTGGGGACGTCATCGTTTGTGTTCGAAGCCAGCGAGCCTCCAGAGAGTCCATAGTACTCAGCCGGCTCAGTTCTTTTCTCGAAATTGCAGCAACGCTCTTAGATTTTGGCTTCTACAAAGTGATTCCTGATTGTTCCTCAAAGATGGGCTGCTGAGAGTATCCCTGTCTTGCCGATTCTCTCCGCACAAGCACCTAGAGCAGTGGTTCTCAACCTTCCTAACACTGCGACCCTTTAATACAGTTCCTCACGTTGCAGCGACCGTAAACCACTGAAATTATTTTCGTTGCTACTTCACAAGTGTAATTTTGCTACTGTTATGAATTGTAATGTAAATATCTGATATGCGATCACCATGAAAGGGTAGTTCGACCCCAAAGAGGTCACAACCCATAGGTAGAGAACCAGTAAATTAAAAGCTTGACCAGCTGGTCTTGTCAGGATTACTGAGTTCACAAGAAGTCTTCGTGAACAAAGACCCACTCCATGCTGGCCCGGAGCTGGTACCCCACCCAGCAAGCAAGTCACTCCACCACCACTGGTTGCAACTAGAATGCAGCGGGCAGCAGGGCATGCCCCAGGTGCAGCAATGAGCAGCTGGAGTCTAGATCAGTGTCAAGACAAAGGAAGCTTAGAGTCCTGGGGACAAGAGGAACACTAGACACGGAGAGAATTTCCAGCCATTCCAAATCCCCAGAAAGCTCAATGAATCTCACTTGTGGTTCAGGGTTTCATTTAAATCCCACCTTGCCTGTATCCCTCTGTTCTCTCTCATCCTCGTCCTTCCTCCCCAAACACCGACAGCACCTGCTAACAGTTCCCGCGATTGGGCATTTTCTTCTTTTTGCCTGTGGGCGTTTACGCATGTGCACGCCATGGGGCATGTGTGGAGGTCAGAGAATATGTGTGAGAGCTGGTTCTCTCCCACCACGCCAGTCGCAGGGATCGAACGCAAGTCATCAAGCCTGGCAGCGAGCACCTTCGCCAGCTGCGCCATCTCTTCAGCCTGACACTCACTCCTTGCTCAGTTTCCTGACATCAGGACTTGTTTACTTATCTGACAGAAGCAAGCCGATGCCCTCGAATGGAGAATTAACCATAGAGAGCAAGGATGGTATTTTCACCGCTTCACTTGAGATACAATTCATAGCTCGGTTAGCCACTCTTCAGAAATATCCAGCTCTGGTCTAGAGAAAGGGCGCAGGGGTTAAGAACAGCACTGCTGGAAGCTGGAGAGACATGGCCCAGCAGTTAAGAGCATCTGCTGATCTCACAGAGGGCTCAAGTTTGGTCCCCAGCATCCACAAAGGTATCTCACAAAAACCTGTAACCCTTGCTCTAGAGGGTCTCACACCCTTTTCTGGCCCCCACAGACACCTGCACACACAGGGTGCACATACACACATGCATAAAATAAAAGTTAATCTTTGGGGGAGGGGAAGAATTTTTACTGCACTTGCAGGGAAATCAAGTTTGGTTTCCAGCACCGCTCAGGCAGTTCACAAACATCTGTAGCCCTGAGCTCTAGGGGACACTACAACCTTGTCTGGCCTCTGCAGGTGCCAAGCATGCCATGCATGAAGTGTTCTTCCATGTATGCAGGCAAACATGCAGACACATGAAATAAAAAGAAGTAGAATTTTTAAAATGTTTCCAAGAAGAAAGCTTACGAGCCCATGGCATTTAGCAGAGTCTTAGAATTAGAAAACCACTCTCACAATCGTAGACCGTTTTGATGACCCACCCCCAAACTTCACATTCATTCGCAATCATTCCCTATTTGTTCACAGTCTATGCTGAAATGGCACTTCCTCAAACAACATACCAAGAACCTATTACTGACCCGATACTGAAATATGGTCTTTGAAAAATTGGTCAGGTTAAACTATGTTCTATATTGTCAGTCAGATACATGAATTCTGAGAGAAGGCGAAGTGGGGAGATAGTCTTGAACTCATTGACAAAGGAGACAACTTCTTGAACAGAAAGCTGACAGCACAGGAACTGACCACAATCAATAAACGGGACCTCGTGAACCCGAAAAGTGTCTGTAAGGCAAATGACAACATTAGTTGGTCAAAGCAGCAGCCCACAGAAGGGGAAAAGATTTTCCCGAAATACACATCCAATAGATACCTAATATCTAAAATATATACAAAAAACCCCACAAATAACCCATATAGAAACAGAGTACAGATCTAAATAGAATTTTCAAAAGACGAAACACAAATGTCTGAGAAACATTAAAGAAGTGTTCAACATTTTTTGCCATCAGGAAAATGTAAATCAAAACTACTTTGAGACTCCATCGTACACCGGTCAGCAATACTAATATCAATCAAACAAGTGACAGCTCAAGCTGGCGAGGATG